TGAAAATCAATGGGGAATACGAAATGCCAATGGGTCTGATGGATATGGACAGATTTGAAAAGTTGAACAATTGTCAAATCAACGTCTTCCGGTAAGCAAATTCTAATTGCCTTCTAAAATCTTAAAATTCCTTCATTAATGTTCTTCACCTATTCAAACACCCTTTTTATTTCATTCCAAACTTAGGTATAAAAAGTATTTTTCTGTTCAGGTACAACGAGTACACAGAATTGTTGCCCATAAGAGTATCGAGCAGATTCAACACTAGCCTGATTGTGGACTTGTTGCTGCTGACAGATGGATCAAAATATCACTGTGTTGATAAGTGATCTCCAGAAACTGGTCGAGTACGTGCGGCACAAAGTGCACCGATTTCAATCTGAGATTTGCCGCAAATGTTTCCACACATGCGCTTCATTCGAAATTCTGAGAAGACATCAAGAACTGTGCTACCAAGACGAAGATGTCGTCATAACAATGCCCAAGCCGGGAAAAGATGACCACAAGTTCAAAAACTTAACAGCTCGTTGGTACGTATCCAGAGTAATCTACTTTGATTTAGAGTCACTGCTCTTACCAGTATACGGACCGCAACCTGATCCGCGAAAATCTAGCACGCAAACAATTGAAATCCATCAACCGTGCGGCTACGCGTTAGCAGTAATCGAACTTGGGAAAAAGACCTGTTAAAGTTTGAGCTTAAAAGAGGACCGAATGTGATGGAAGAGCTAAGTAGCTCCCTTGAATCGTTAGCGAGACAAATTTACGTAGAAAAAAGGAAATATTACACTTTCACTGGTATAACAGACCAGGAACGGGAAGATGATACAATTTGTTGGATATGCGAGAATGATTTTTCCGACAATGACCAAGTGGTACTTGATCATTGCCATTACACCAACAAGTTCCTGGGTTGGGCACACAATGAGTGTAACGTTAAAAGAAAAACAACAAATTACATTCCAGTGGTAGCTCATACTTTGTCAAATTATGATTTACACTTTATAATCAAAGCGCTGATAAAAAAGCGATTCGGAAAAAACTTTTACCGTAATACCCGCATCTGAAGAAAATTATATATCCTTGACAATCTCAGTATATATAAAAACGTACACAGATAAAAACGGAAAAATCAAAAAACTCTACGAAAATATGAGATTCATTGATTCGTATAGGTTCATGCTAGCATCGTTGGCAAAACTTGTCGATAATTTGCCCAAAGAAAAAATTTTTCTGCTGGAGAAATATTTTGAAAAACTCGGCCACTCACCTGAAAAAGTCAGTATTACCCCTACTCATACTTCAACTCATTCGAAAAATTCCGAGAAACTCGCCTTCCCCCACGAGCATTGTGGAAAAATAGTCTAACAGGAGGGGATGTGAGTGTTTCAAGAAGCGAGTACAATCATGCCCTTCAAGTTTTCACCGAACTGAAGTGTGGCTCACTTGGTGATTACCACGACTTGTACTTGACTACAGATGTGCTATTGCTTGCTTCCGTTTTCGAAGCTTTTCGTGAAGTTTGCTATCAAACATACGGGCTGGATTGCGCTTGTTACTTCACGGCAAGTAACCTTTCCGGGGAGCCTTTCTAAAAGTTTGTAAGCCCGAACTGAAACTCTTAACGGACCGTGAACATCTGGACTTTGTGCAGCGAATGATACGAGGAGTCATGTCGTCGGTTTACGCGCGCCGATTTTACAAAGCAAACAATAAATAACTCGACAATTTTTCGCCCTCAGAACCATCAAGCTACATCCTCAATATTGATGCAAACAATTTGTACGGGGAGATAATGAAACGCTGCCCTTTGCCACTAAACGATTTTTCGATAGTTGAAAAAAATCTGGCATACATACTGCTCACCAGCGAAACCTCAGAGTGGGGTTATAAAGTTGCAAAGTCAATATAAACATACCCGAAGGGCTTCACGACTTCTTTGCTGATTACCCCCTTGCCCCCTCTCGTGAAGTAGTGGACATCGGTGCAATGAGCAACGAGCAAGTCGACATGTTGGGAAAATTGGGAATCACCTCACTGCCAAAAGTGCCAAAGATTCTACAGACCTTGCATCCTAAAGAAGGTTATGTTTTGCACTACCTTACCCTAAAATCGTACCATGAGCTGCGATTTAAAATAACTTACCTCGGCAAAGTTCTTCAGTTCCGCCAAAATTACTGGATGGCACCCTTTGACGACCTCAACACCCGCCTACGAAAAGCCGCGGTAAATAAATTCCAGTAGAACTTCTACAAGATAATTGTTAGTTCAGCTTTCGATAAGACAATGGGGTCTAAGTTAGAAAGAAAGAAGCTGGATATTGTAAGGAATGAGAGAGAACTTTTACAAAAAACAGCTCTGAGCACAATCAAAAGCTTTCAAATCAATGACGATCAATTAGCCACAATCAGCTTTTCGGTAACAAAAATATTGTCGTATAAATCTATGATAGTTGGTGCGACCATCCTAGACCTCGCCAAGCGTTTCATGTTTCAGTTTCATTATCAAAAAATGAAACCAAATCTAAACTTGGAACTCCTTTACTCCGACACGGATAGTTTTATTTATGCCATAAAAACTGATGTTTACCGAAAATTGGAGAAAATTAAAGCTGATTTCGACTTTTCAAATTACGATGAGGACCATTTCTTGTTTTCGAGGATAGCAACAAGAAAGTTGTGCTGAAGTTCAAAGACGAGACTGGTGGGGAGCCGATCAGAGAATTCATCGCCCTAAAACCGAAACTATATTCGGTCGTCCTGAATGGTAAATAAAATTTAAGCCACCCTTCCACCCCCATTCCTACCTTTTACAGAACATAATTAACACCACCAACTTCCCTACCCCCTTAATTTGTTGCATTAAACTATGGGCATTTAGCTGATTTAGGCAACATTATACAATGTTGCCTAAACGTTGATTTATCTGACAACATATTCCCTCTCTTTTCCTCTTTTTTGATCATAATTTAGAGTCTTCTGCACTTTTTTGGTAAAATGAACCAAATTTTGTTCGGTATAAATTGAGTTGCTGAAGTGAAATGAAACTATCCCCTGCGTTGTAGAAAAGAACAATAATTTTGCTTCTGTTTATAAGGCACTCAAAAATTGAGTGTCAAAGGAATGAAACGGAGTGCACAGAGAGAACTGGTCCACCAAACCTTCAAGGACACATTATTCACTAGAAAAACAATGAGGGTGTACAACTATAATATAGTTTCGAAAGGTCACGCCAATATGACAGTGAAACAAAACAAACTCTAATTATCACCATTCGACTCAAAACGTTTTCTACTTTTCGACGGAATTTCGACAGTGCCCTTTGACCATAAAGCCGCCGAAGAAAATGCTTTTCTAGAATACATTTACATGGACACCGAGTGGGCCAACTCATACAATGAAACTGATAACAGTTCTCCCGATTTTCAACTTCCGGATTGGGGATTTTTACAGCGGCCCTACTCAGAAACAGAGCTTCAAGAAGAAGAAGCTTCTAGTAGCCGAGTCCGTGAACGTCCCCCTATAAATAACCCATTTATTTTATCTGAAGCTTCGGAAGAACGACCATCTAAAAAACAGCGCAAAGAAAACCAAAACAATAAACATTAAAGTCTGAAACATATATTTTCAGATGTTTTTTACTGTTCGTCCTTTTTATACTTCGACTTGTATATGTTTTGGTTTTTACCAATTTACAACTAATAAAATACTCGTATTGAGCACAATCACTGTTTTAACATAAATAGCCTCAGGCAAAAAAACTAGTTGACGCAAACCATGTGTTAATTCAAACAAAGGTGTGAAATGCTTAGGCTCGTTTTCAATAACAAACTTTAATAGCATGACAAATCTTTGACGAAAAGAAAGAAAGCCAGGAAATGACATCAACATGAAACTAGGACGAAAAAGAAAAGTTCAGGAATTGGGGCGATTAACTTAAATTATCGCGGAAAAAGGGACCGCTTTAAAAGGAATTAGAAGGAATTATTGTTTCGGGTCCCGGTTGTTAAGCTCAGCTTAACAAGATCCTAAGGAAGGGGTCTTTTACTTTAATTACGTTAATTTACAAAATCCTAGGATAGGGTTCCTCCAAAAAATTAAGGACCCCTTTCCTAGGATTTTGCTTTTCGTGAGTACCCCCCCCCCTTAGGATCCGGGACACGATACAATACTACTCACATTATTCACCGCTTGTTTTCACAGAGAGTCATGGATCATTTGTATAAAGAAATTGCCCTGTTTTACTAAAAAGTGAAAAATTACACTCTGTTGAAAATGATTTACTTTTAAACACAAGCAGGGGCCACGCAGTGGTTATGCAGACCAATCTCGTCATGTAACCTAGAAACACCCTAACTACGAAAATTGATTGTTTAAAATTCTGCAAATTTACTTGATCTCAGATTCCGTATTTCTGATCTAACATCGTTCCTTAATTACCCTTAATGGTGATTGAAGACAATTTTTGCATTAAGGAGCTTTTTGAGCCATTGTAAAAAAAATGGTAAAAGCAGAAATTCAAATCAATCATAAAATTGTAGGAGAAATTTGCATTCATTGTGAACCAAGGTACCAAGTGATCCATGATATTCTATTAAACAAATTGTTAACCCGAAAACGTCTATATTCCGGTTTGACAATGCCTGCAAATCGAAATGGTGAAAACGATCAAAATAATTGAAAGCTCTTTTCATTCATTTAAACTTAACGGTGATTGAGGACAATTTTTGCATAGTGAGGAGCTTTCTGAGCTCTGTAAAAAACAGAATTTTTCATAAAGAGGATAAAATCCGCAGTAATTTTTATCCATAGCTGAAAAACCATCAAGGAAACGTAACATTTGTTTAGTTACAAGTAAGTCACGATAATTTACTTTTCTCGCAATCCATATATTTATTTTAAAACCTGTCCCAGGTCAATTGCAACTTTTTGATCAAGTTTGACCCTATTAACAGCGTTATAGCATCAGTTAACAACCAATTTATTACAAATTACACAATTTATAATTCTTATGACATTTCAGAATTCTTCTCCAATAAACTGGTAAATATTACAAATTATCGCTACGCAATTTTCAGTGTTTGAATAACTCAGCAAAGTAGTTAGGCTCCGCCGAAGTCATTATGGGCTGATGATTTCATCATGAGATGATGACGTCATTATGGGACGATTGCGTCGATATTCGTTAATGACGTCATCATGGGTTGATGACGTCAATCTTTCTGAACTCCTGGAGATTCTCGTCGTATTCAATGATTCTGTAGCGAGGATTCACAACTTCTTCCTCTTGTGCAATGTGCAACAGCTGGCGGGGGCCACTTTCGCTTGTAGTCGGAACTTTCGACCCTGTTGGCGAAGCTTTTCCAACCTCTCCGCTCTTTAACTCCTTCGAAGCCTAAATTAAGATGCTTAGATAACCACAGCGCATAAATTAATAACTACAGTTCAGTTAAGCTCTCATTTGTTTACAGTTTTTTTCTTAAATATATATATCATAGAACACGTCGAAGAACAATTTAAAACGACAGAATCGGAAAGACCCAACGAGAACAGAAATAACATCAGCCATTCAGACATCAAAATACGAGGATGTCGTTAAACAAACCATCCGTATCACTGGTTTAAAAATCAACAATGCTCGATAGTTTGTCTTTTTAAAAACCTGAACTCGGTAAAAAATAGTAGTGTCATTATTCAAGAAAACAAAAAACAAGACAATATGAGAATAATTCATCGTAAAAGAAAAAGAGTCTGAAGTAATAACCTTTGAATTTAGCTGACTTTCATTATGATCTGGTAGCATTCGGTAGTCTCCGAGATTAGATCCGGAGTTGCTGGGACTGTTCTTGCTTAAATCGGGTCCTACATTTAGACCATAGCTACCCGCAGTTCGTACAGCTTTCGATTCTTTAGTAGTAGGTTTGGCAGTAGGTTTGGTACCGCCTCGAGCATCTATTGTAAAATAATGATCAGAATAGGATTTTAAAAAAATGGCAAAAGAAAAATTACACAGAGGCCAAGCGTAGCTTTGCCTTAAGTGCGATCCAATTAACAGCAAGAAAAACAAACCGACAGATGAGAGGAAAGCCGCGCAAAAAATTGAAATTATCTACCAAACGTTTTCAAGACCATTGCTTTATTTTTGTCTGAAATCAACTTGTTTTCATCAAACTTATGCCAAGGAAGACCAATGATGAAAAAACTTACAAAGTTGTAACAAAGCGGACAATTCTTGAGCAGACACACATTTGAGCCGAAAAAAAACGATTTCATAAACTCCTTAGGAATTAGAAAACTTAATAACACGAGGCCGCTCAGCCGATATGAAAATCAATCAATTACTTTTGAGCCGAATGAAGAGTTGTAAAAGAATAATGAACGCAAATTACAAAAAACGGACTTGTTTTTTGAAACAAAAAAAATCAAATTTCGGTTTTTAAAGAAGACAATTATGCCCTTGAAGCTCTTTGAATTTCAAGAGAAAATTACGGTTGGTGCTTTTTTTAATGAAAATAACCCAATTTGAGAAAAGTGGATCAATAGGTAAACTTTTCAAAGCCAAACTGGCAGGGCGCACTCGAAGCGAACTCTCATTTCGAACTTCCTCTTTCGTCGATAGACCTATGCTAACATTAAGTCCATCTAAAACTCCATATAAATTATTTTCCAATATTGGAACTCGATTTTGATATTTAATTTTGTCCACTTTATCCGTCAAGCGAGAGACTATTAGCGAACGACACTCAGTTCCGGTATTTAGTATACGCACTTTAAATCCCAGCAAATTGGAAACTTTACTCGGAATAACCGCATTCTGGGAAAGTTTTAGAGGCGGGATGCGTCGGTCATAAGGGGGAAAGTGGAAATAACATGAACTTTAAGCCAATATCGGCAAAAAAAGAAGAAGAAGAAGAAGAAGAATTTATTTCTCCATATAGTTGATAATACAAGCATCAATTTATTTAAATTATTAAATCAACAAAATGGAGGGGATAGACAAAAGGCGCAGTATGTGCCTACTTGACGTCTACCCGTTCAAAACAGGCATTCCGACAGAAATCGTATTGCCAAAGCGACCTATAGAAGACCCGAACATGCACACTCGACTAACCAGTCAAACAGGGAAGGGGAAGTGCGCAATTTTGCTTGAAAAAAAAACGGGAAAACGAATGTCAAAGGATTCGGATTATTGGAGTAACTATCCAGAACATTCCATGGGATGTTGCAAACAGATGAGTAAAATTGCACATCTTCCTATCAATGGGGGAAGTAGGAATAAGAAAAAATGCTGATATTGAGAGTGCATAACAGAGTCATAACCCTTGCGCTGTGAGATGTGCTGGAAGACGCATTCAAATCTCAAGGTTGACTGGATGGATCGACAGATGACTCCCGTTTGACTTTGAAAAAGAGCATATGGCAGGACAGGAACAAAATAGAGAGTCATAAGTTAATTATCCCGAAATCCGTTATTTAAAATGCCTAATCCTTCCAAAAAAGGATGAAAAACTCAATGTGGCGCAAATTGAATTAATTACAGCTGACATACATAAAACACTAGGCAAGCATGCACAAACGAGTGTTCCAGAATATTCTAGTCACTCTTATATAATTCAGAACGAGCATACGATTTGCAAATAAAATTCAAAGTTAATATTGGCGGTCAGAACAAGAACATCCAACGCGGAAAGTTATTTCGGGCGAGTCAGTTTGACAGCGAGAAAGTGAGAAAAAAAGTTCTTTCTGCAGAAAGAACGATCAGAATGGCAAAACGGAGTTATTCTACACAAAACTCGTTCAACAAAAAGGGGGCATTGAAAAAATGGGAAAGAGAGCAGTTTAAAGATAAAGAAAACAACTAAAAATCAGGTCTGCTGAGGATAGAAACGGACAGTCCAACCTTGTCGGAGGAATCGTGACATGAAAAAGTGACGATACCATGAATGCTCATAGATGAATGCCTCGATATAATAGAAGCAACATTTTCAGGTAAACTAGGATTAACATCCGCCTACGACAGGACATGGTGGCCGTATAGTGGCCGCAACATCATCAACAAGGCAGAAAGGGAGAAAAGGCAAGCCGTGCTCGACTATCGGTGAGAACCTAAAACCACTTATCGAAGGTTCAGATTGGAAATAGCTAAAAATAACAATAGCAACGTAACTGTGATATGCGTTGCGATATCGGTTGAAAACAAGTTGTAATTCAATACTGTATTTGAAATATTGAATTTAGGTTTTCTTATTCTTTTGTTTTCTTTTGTTACTGAGAGCTAGATCAGTGTTACGAACTCTGATCTCTCACTTATTCTCAATGTCATCACTCACTGTGACCTTGAGCATACCATAAAAGTAATGATTAAGCACCATAGGTTAGCTGTACATAAATGGACAAATACTGCTACTGCAGTAGCGGTATGACACACCCCCCTCGGTGGAAGAAATAAATTATACAACATAAGTAGGATAATTTATTTAAAAAGAGTTCAATATACTCAGTTCATAGGAAAGTCTCTTGGTTAATTGACGATTGAGTTTATGGAATTCTCAGTTTTCTTCCAACTCTATTTCCCAACTCGGGTTCCAAGCGACTCCTTCGTCTAGTGTAGCATACCCGAATTTTCGCATAAAAAGGTGTCTTTCGAGTCGTCGCACTTTTGATTACATTGGTCTGTCGCTTCGATCTTTGAAATCTCTCAGTTGATTTCTGTATTCTTTGAGTGCTTCCTTCAGAAGACCTCCCCCTGTGAGATTTTCTGATATCTCTTTAATCGAATGCTTTATCGGGTCTCCAAAGCGTTTAGGTTCCTTGTTTTTCGTTTGCCTGGAGCTTCGTCTGATACCCGACTCTTCAGTACTCGACTCGTCCGAAAATCTTTGTGGTGGTTCGAAAGTTGTATCCTTTTCCGAAATTTGTTGGGGATTTCCTCGAATTTCGTCCGCAATTCGCTGTACTCCTCTTTTTAGCAATTGGTCCGCGTACTTCTCCCATTCGGACGGTGCTAAATTGCGATTGTGGAATGTGTCGACTATGTCCTCTAGGGGAGTGTGGGAGTCAATACATTTCAATTTTGACCGCTGTTTTGTTTTCGGTGTAGAACTGGACTGAATTTTGGTGTCTACTTTTTCCGGCTTAGATGTCGATTGCTCCTGTTCCGGGTTGACTGCCATCGCAGTTTGGCTTGTCCCCTGTTGCTGCTTGTTTCGGCTTTTCTTTTCCTTCCCGCTCTTCTCCAACTTGTTGGTGTTGTTTTCCTCTATAGTTGATTTTGGGCCCGCCAAATTGGGTTTTGCTCTTTTGACTGCAAAGTTCAGACCTCCCCCGGCTTCTGTGTCTTTTGAAGTCACTATTGTTTGGCTCTTTTGAAAACGCTCTATGGGATTCATTGTATCTGCGATCTCCATTTCTCCTTGGATTTCGTCCTCTGATCCCAGCTTCTCGAGTAATTCAGGAGAACTGATCCTCTTAAACTTTTTTGTAGGTTCCAACGATGGACTTTTACTCGTGCTTCGCTGATTTTCTTGTGTCAGTACCGTTTTCGATTGTGCTATGCCGATTTCCTATAAATCGAACCAGCAGACGTCTTAATTGTTGAGTCTGTTTCTGAAGCAATTTTCCCTTTTAGTGGTCTGGTTAATGCTTGTCCGCTTTTCCTTAGTAGGTCCTTTCGGAGTATTGTTTTAGGTGGTGATTTACATTGATTTTCCACTTTGTCCTCCACAAATCCTTTCTCCCAAGAGTAAAGTATCTCCTTTCGAAGGTCGGGATTGAGTAGCCCTGTCTCGTCCACTAATTTCCTGATATTGTTTTTAGCCGCGTCCCTTCTCTCGTTGTTCCAACGGGCGTTCGTTCGCCTCCAACAACTCCTTTAGAGCTTTGGCCCTTTCTCTGCCTCTGTCCGACGTTAACTGCTGCTTGTGCAGTGGGCTTGTATCCCTGCTGAGTTGTCCCTTGCGTACTATTTTGAGATTCTCTCTCGACTGATCAATTCTACGTTTCAATTGAGAAGCCGTCAGTGCTGAGCGTTCCAAGTGTTGTTTGTCTAAATAATCAGAATTATTTAAAAACCTATCCCTCACAGTTTTAAATTCTGTTTTTGGTAGTCTGCCAAAATGTGCTTGAAACGGGGATACTTGAATTGTTTTCTGCTTGTTCCACCGTAAATCTCTCATTATAGTACTAAGACATAATTTGATTGATTTATGATTTTCTTCGAGCATCATCACCCCCAGTCTTCTTTTTATAGTTTGGATTGTACGTTCAACCAAACCACAGCCTCTGTGGTCCCCCACCGGACAGAATTTTTGCTCGATATTGAGTTCCGAACAGAATTTTTTTTAGCGTTTTCCCCTTAAAGCCTGAAAATTGGTCCGAACGAATTGATTCAGGAACTCCATGCGTGTCGATATATGATCTCAAGAATTTTACTGTGCACTTTCCACTTGTAGATTTCGTAACCTTCACTGATGGAAATTTTGAGAATCGATCTATCAATACTAAAAGGTAGATTTTTTTCCTTTTTGATTTTCTATGGGCCCCGCGTAATCTAATTGTACTTCCTGTCCCGGCTGCGTGAGCAGTGGCAGTGGTTTTGACGTATTTTTTGAAATTAGATATTTTACATTCTTACCATATCTGGTACAGCTACGGCACTCCTCTGCCAGATTCACAATGTCCTTATTCATGTGTGGCCACAACAGGTATTGCGCTGCTCCCAGCATAGCCTCTTGGCCTGGATGCCCTCGATGTATTCTTTTTAGAACAGCTTGTCTTAGTTGTACTGGGACTGCTAGCCGGTTATTCACCAAGATGCAGTCGTCCTGAACTGCCATCTGTGACCACAACGGATTTGTATAAGGTCCCATTAATTCAAAGCCTTGTTTGTCTCCTCTTTCTATCACTCGTCTGAGGCGGTCCATCCACGTGTCTTCTGTGGTCATTTCTGCTAG